CGTTACACTATGTGGAGCGCCCCCCCCCCCCCCGTTCCCCTCTCCGACAGGCAGCTTCATAGTACGCGGTTGAAATGGAGCTAAGTAGTTTCCTTCAGGCATTTGGGTTTTTGGCGAAGGGCCAGCCCTCGTTCCCAGCAGCCTTCAGAGGCATTTAAACTCGGAGAGAGCTTCGCTCCAGTCCCCATTACTAATTACCTAATGAGGAATTTAAATTAGCTGGGCATATGAAAGTTTAACAAGATCTTAATAAATGCCTTTTTACTTGTTTTTCATGGAAAGTCAACACACTATTGTGTTGTCCCTGTCGAAACCTTTTTTGTTTTTAACGTGCACTGCAAACCAGTTACCTAATTATAGGCAAATACATAAATATTGTGTGCACCGGTGGTTTTGGTTTTGGTGCTGCTTGGGGTTTTTCTTTTCCTATTTTTGCCCAGGCTCCTCGCCTGGCCGGAACATGTGACCCAGTTTACTTGAGCGGTGCTGGGGGAGAAGGGAGGCTGCTCCCATGGCAGCTCCGCTCTTGGACAGATGGGAAGGGGCTGTGAGGGGAATGTGTGGCATTTGGGATCAGGTTTTGCTACCGGGCTTGGAAGAGATGATCTTGCTAAAATAAGTAGAGTTTGGTATGGAAACTTGGTGTGTCTGTTTTCTGTGTAATGCTTCCATATGGATCGTTTCCTATAGTGGAAAGAATAATCCCAAAACATCAGCTTGTTGCCATAACAGTTCATACCCTCTTTTTTTTTTTTTCTTCTCTGAAAATGGCTAGAAAGTCAGCAGGGTGAATTGAAATTGAAAACCGCAGCTTTACCCATTTAGGGTGGTTTTGTTTTTTGTTTTGTTTCGTTTCATGGAGTAGAGGGGAATGCGGTTGGGGAGGGGGGGAAGTTGTCCATGCACTGTTGCATGTATGTTTGAACAGAGTACTTTCTTGGCAGATGGTCAGGGTTTTAAAAGGAAGTCTCCCTTGGCATTGCGTGAAAGAAAGAGAGAGATGACTCATACAGTTGCACTCTTGGCCAGTAGATAAAGTTCTTGTTCATTGTGGGACTCCCAGCAGGACCTCGGAGTAATTTCCCGTTTTGTACCCTATAGAATAGGACATCTCTATTCTGGAACTTTTTTCTCCCCTCTCCACTGTTGTTGAAGTTCCCCGTGTTCCTCCAAACATGCACGGGAGCAGTTGGAGTTACGAGGCGTGCATGCCAGTACGCTTGGAAATGACATTCTTTGAAAGTCGAGTGTGCTGCGTTCTCATGCACAGGAAATGGGAGGATGTCTGCTGCTCCATTGATGTCCCCAGAAGACGGACCCGCAGCTCCGCAGCCATGCTGAAATGTGGCTTTGTTTTCTGACACGGCGTTTGGGTTTTAACTGCGTGTCAGAGCACATTGTGTTCAGTTGGGTCCTTTCAGCCTGGTGTTTGTGTGAGAGAGATACAAAACAACTTGAAATTAGACGAGGCGCAAGAGTGAAGTGTAATTATTTGTTGTGGTTCTCTATGGTCCTTTTCAACGTCAGCCTACTGAAAACACAGATTTTATGATGAGAGTGGTGATAATTTGACTGACTCATTAGAATGCTATTTTGGAAACCAAAGCTGACTTGCACCTTCAGCTGTGCGTTTGAACTCCTGCCCAGGTCTCGAAAACTGATTTCTTTTCATCGTAACAGTCACCTAGTTACGGCTGGGGGAGCCTTTAATTTGTTTTGAACCCAGAAACCTCAAATCGAACGTACTACAATCCTGCCTTCCTTTTGAAATATAAGATACAGTTGGGTTTATTTTTAAGCAAGCTTGTAACTTTTGTCTTTTTTCTTCCTTCTATTTCACCTAGACATGTTTGGAGCTGGAACGGTATCTTCAAAGTGAGCCCTGTTATGTTTCTGCATCTGAAATCAAATTTGATAGCCAAGAGGATCTCTGGACCAAAATTATTCTGGCACGTGAGAAAAAGGAGGAATCTGAACTGAAGAACACATGTGTCGCAAAAGAGGACAATCTTACTAGTCAGAACTTAGAGACCAACAGTTTGAATTCTGACGTGAGCAGCGAATCTTCAGACAGCTCTGAGGAGCTCTCGCCCACGACAAAGTTTACCTCTGACCCTATAAGCGATGTTTTAGCCAGTTCAGGAAACTTGAGTTCATCTGTCACTTCCACTCCCCCTTCATCTCCTGAGCTGAGCAAGGAGCCTTCTTCCCAGCTATGGAATTGTACGCCGGGTGAGTTGCATTCACCGGGGAAAATTCGTACCGGTACCGCTGGAAAGACTGCAGAAAAAGGTACACCCGCCAATGGTGACACCTCGCCAGATGGCAGAAGGCGTGTTCACAGGTGTCATTTTAATGGTTGCAGGAAAGTTTACACCAAAAGTTCACATCTGAAAGCACATCAGCGCACTCATACAGGTTAGTAACCGTACGCTTATTAAGAGTTGGCAAGTACTGTAGGGAATACCCCTGACAGTGGTGGTGTCACAGCATTACACAATCACTGGGTGGGAGCCCGGGTTTGGAGAGTTGATGTAATGGTAGTAGAGGCTTACCAGCATGGACGACATCACTTCCTCATTCTCTTCGTAAGCAAGCTGAAGCCAAGGCAGCTGGTGGTAGATTAGTCCGCTGTCATAGCAAGTAGGAGCCACTTGTCAGTAGTCAGGAAGCTGCAGCGGCATGCAGTCTTCAGGAGCAAAGGTCTAGCCAAAATAGATTATAGATGCTTTCTGACATTTATTTCTAAGGCAAAAGCGAGCTGAGACTTTCTTCCAAAAAAAGGAACATCATATCCCAAAAATCAGTCGGATCACTAAATACTCTTAAGAGCTTGTTTTCATGGTTCGGTCTACATTGGGTCTATTCAATCAGACATCCCAAGGCCTTGATTATATGAACTATAGTTATAGCTGTAAAATGTTTAACAGTTCTGTGTGCCATTGTTATTGGCAAAAATCGTGGAAAGCCAGTGTGTTACAGTCCTTCTAACATACCTGCTTACAAAGTGGACTTACAAATCTATGACTTACTGTATAATTTCATCCCAAAATACTGAGCAACAGCATTTTATTGTTATGGAACCTGCACTAAAAATAACAACCCTGTGTGTTATTGGGGAAGTAAGTGAGGAAGATAGACACTTCAGGGCTTTTATAAATATTTTATGGTTGAAGTAGCGTGCTGATTTGCTTGTTTGAGCGTTATTATTTGACATGTCTTTATGACAGCAGTTAGATATGTAGAGCTACGCCTTGTCTCAATAGTCATCGCTTAAGGTGAGGAATTGGCCTGGTGTTCTTGGTGTACCAATCCAAAGACTTAGGATTCCTCCCCCTCCCCCCTATGAGATGTGGAAAGAGAATTCAAGGAAAAGATCCCATTTTGACTCATGAGCTCAGCATTTTGTGGCTTTTATGGGAAGTCTGAGCAAGCTCGGATGTTCCTATTGTCATGCAGAAGTCAGATAAAGCAAGATTATTTCAAGAGGAAAGAACAACTTCCACTGAAACCATGGTGGCTGAGCAGTCACAAATAGTTGCCGGCCTCAGAAGTATTGCAGAACTGTTGTCCTGGTGCTGTCGGGCTGAGAATGTTCCTGTGAATGGAAGTGGTATTTCTTGAATGCTGAAATAGCAGTGTTCAAAGTGTGCAGGCTTTTCCAAGAATACATGGCTCAGCAGAAAGGAGGTTGCATTTTATGCAGATGAGTGAGTGACAGAGGACTTTGATGCAATACAGTAGCCTAATTGCATTTTGGAGCCTAGATGTGTTGTCTTTAATCACCTTTGTGAGGTGAATGATACCTGTTTGGGAGTAAGCCTGCCATTATGGGTGAACAGGAATGGTAGAAGGTTGGATTTCTTTGTTTCTTGTGAGCCTGTTTAATCACTTTTTTTTTTTTTTAAGAATGAGATTATTTGATGTGCTGTTGCAGCAAAAGAGTTAAGTAGGAATCATGTGGATGATTTTTGCAAGCCTTCTTTGTCTACATGTTCTGAAGCATTCAGCTAGGTTAAATAAAATTGGCTGTCTTGGGGGGTGGAGGAGGTTTACATAGAAAATGAATGGGATAGTACCTACCTTTCTTTGAATGTAGTCATGACTAACGTGTAATCTGCTTTCTTTGTAGGGGAAAAGCCTTACAGATGTTCATGGGAAGGGTGTGAGTGGCGTTTTGCAAGAAGTGATGAATTAACCAGACACTTCAGAAAGCACACTGGTGCCAAGCCTTTTAAATGTAGTCACTGTGACAGGTATGTGACTAAAATGCACCTTTTAAATAGTTATTTTTAATGCTTGTTGAAAAGTGAGTCTAGGATGCCTTTCACTTGTGAAGGAATCATCTGGGAACGCAACTGCGTCTGGTATTTTTAAGGGATTATTGTATATTTACACTGGAAAAAAGCCTTCCGTTTTACTAATCTTTGGGATGTGGTTAGTAGCCTGATGTTGCAGATGAGTGTTGAGAAGGCCCTAGCGTTACCAACCATCTGCAGTGCTCCTGGGTGCCTACAGACACCTTGAGTGCTCCCGCCTATCCAGGGAATGCCAAATCCCTCCTCCACCATCTGTGTTTTGGAGTAGCAGAGCAGGAGGGGGGTGCCTCACCCACGCGTACCGTGTCGTGCATGCCAGCAACCGTGGGCTAATGCACGACCTGACTCTTGCCTTGCAGGTGTTTTTCCAGGTCTGACCACCTGGCCCTTCACATGAAGAGACACCTCTGAATGGGTCAAGAGGTGAATCCTGCGGGCTAAGAGGCGTCAAGGTTGAAGAGCCTTGAGCGGAGGGATGCGTGTTCCAGCCAAAGCATGCCATTTTGCACCCTACCCAGTTGCCTCCAGGACCTCACTTCCTTGAAGGTCTTTTGAGGGCTAATAAGTCATGTAAGAAACGGCATAGCAACCGCGGTGCGTGATGTTTGGGGTTTCCTGGACTCATACACTGGTATCTAACCTTCTGAGTGGCTCCTAAGCCTTTGCCGTGAGCATGTGCACTGAGAATGTCAATGATTGGGCGACTGTATGCGATGAGGATCTCTTGATGACTGTATGCTGAGGCACATTTTTTTTCTTGTGGTTGTTTTATAACTGTAAGAGAAAAAAAATAGTCTGAATGTCTTGTATGTGAGGAATATCTCGTGAGATGGGACGACCACCAATCATTTCCAAGGGGTGGGGGGAGGGGTGTCTGCACCTTTTTAGAGGGAAAACGGAGAGGGGAAAGGGGGGAATAAAAAGAGTCAGGATGCCAGAATGGAGATAGGGGACCTCCCCGTTCCTGTGTGAGAGGAGCTTTAGGTGTCTGGTGCAGCTATTAAACGTGCAATGTGTCAAGTAGCTTGTTTTACTTGCTACAGAGCTCATTTGTAATCCATTGTATAAGCTGTGTATTTACAAATGTAACACAACTATAACTTTTCATTATAATACAAAGGTTATTGCATGGTTCTGGGGAACTATATGCTTTTCCATTCTTTAATCAGGACTGCAGTTTTGATTCCAGTTAAGAGCAGCTAAAATACAATTGGTCTAATGTTACATAATGTATGGAACATGAATAATTTTTTCTGTTGGGTGGATAAAACCACTATTGGTTAGAAACTGATTTTTCTCATGCAGCTAATTTTTCTCTTATTTATGCCTTGAGGACTAACTTCTGGTTTTCTAGCTGTTAATGCACTGTTGACCTTAATAATGGTGCCTTATGCAAGTGACCTTCTCTTGTAGGGGGTCTTATACAGGGGTATGGGTGATGCATGCTTTATTAAGGCTCTCTTTTCACCTGGCATTGTACTGTATCAAATGTATAATATGAGGGGAAAAAAAGGTTACTTCCAGGGTCCTCCTTCACAAAGACAAATATAGAGAAAAGTCGTTCATGTCAGTACAGTATTTGTTTAACTTAGACAATTTGACTGTGTTACAGTATAATGCATATGCCAATTGAATACCTGACCAGTTCTGCCACCTTGAGACTTTTTTTATATTGACCTTGCACAACAACTGTGTATATACACACCCCAACTGTACTTAATATGTCAAGTTTTCATACATATTAAAGATACAGAAGTATTAAAAGATGTATTTGCTTAAAAGGCACAAGTTTCACATCTATATATCTAGCTATCTGTTGGTCATACAGAAAGAAACTATATTACTTTTTTTTTAAAAGTGGGCAGAAAAATAATTGTGTATGTATATTTGTGTGTACAGTCTGTGTATGTGTGTATATATATAGATAATATATAAATATTTTTTTTAAAGGAAAAAAAATAGAACACATAGCTAGAAAATGCCACAGCCCATCAATAATTAAAATCTAGCATTTTTAGAGGCTTTACCTTTAGCTTAATGGTATGCTAAAGGCTTTGTTGGCATTCAGTCCTTTTCAGACTGCTGACTGTGTTTTGTAGTTATTAGGTTGTCTGGAATAGCGTATCTGTGGACATTTAAGAATGATATGAACCGAATATTGGCATGCTAAAAGAATATTAGCAGTGTGCAGATGAAGTACATTCGGGTTTTGGCCTTCCAGCTTACTGGAGGACCTGTGAGTGAGCTAGTTGTTGTGGTGGTTGAGCTCTAATTTTACGTAGTTCAGCTAAAATAAAGACTGTTTTTTCCTAGAGTAGAAATAGTCTGTCCAAAAGCAGTATTTTTTTTTTTTTTTAAACCAGCTCACTACAGTTGATGCAGTGAAACACGTGACCTGTTTCTTTTTCTATTTATTATTGGTCTTGCTTACTATGCTAATATTTTGGTATATCTTCCTGGAAATGTATGTAGATAAGTGGTTTAAAAAAAAGTATATGCAAGTGATCTGGTTCTAAGGAACACACAGGCTTAAATCATTCTCATTTCATTTTTGGTTTAAATTGCCTGAAAATGCACTTTTTTTTTTCTTCCCCTAAAACAAACAAAATTTCCCAGAAAATGGATTTCTACTTAGGGTTGGGTTTTGTTGTGTTTTTAACTCCTTGTTTGCATTGTCCTTGGCTTAGCCATAATTCTTATAAACAAGAAAGTAAACAAAAGCAAAAACAAACAAAGAACAACCCCAAACAAAAAAAAATTAAACTTGCACTGGCTTGTCTCAATTGTGAAACACCATCAGACTTGTGTGGATGGGGTGGGGCTGTGTGCCATATGTCAAATGCCTGTAATTTTCTTAATAAGCAAGTACATTTTGTTCAGGTGATAACTGAGCCTCAATCAAGCTGAAAAATAAAAAAAAAATAAAACATTTTTGCTTGAAATTTAAGAAGAAAAAGTTTCTATTAGTGAAATTTCTTTTTTTTGTTTTTGAAGCACCCTGTTATCTAAAGAATCTCTTTGTAAGATTTTTGTAAAAATTTTGTTTTACAAGATTTTATTTGAAATTGTTTTTTGCAAGATTGTTATATTTCTGTATGAATGTATTTTTTATTGGAATAACATAAAAAGAAATTCTTATCAGCATCATGTGTCTAGTTTCATCTTTCTCCTCTTTGACGTCCTGCACACCAAATGATGTCAAATACTGTGTCGGTACTTTGCCATGAGTCACCTGGTTGCAGGTACAAACACCTTTGGGTCAGGTCACTTTGTGGAAGACAAGCCCTGATGAGAAAATAATTGGGGCAGTAGAAACTTAAAGTTCTTCCATATCTGAAAAGCTGTTGTTGACTCATCTCTTGTCTCAGCAAAATAAATAGTTAATGCGATTGTTGCTGCAAGACTGCACCTTTATTCCAAAACGTTTGTTCTGGAGAGGTGAATGCACGTAGGACAAGTTCTGCATGTGGGAAAGGGAATTCAGTGGGTATTTAAAGTGAAGGAAAAAACCAGAAAGGTGGTGGCTGGACTGGAGGCACCTGTCCTTAACTTCTACTGCAGAGCGTGGGCCTTTGAACTGCCCGGTTGATGGGGAAGCAAGCCTGAAACCTTGACGGCACAGTTGTGAGAAGGAATGCAGGGAAGGAGCCACAGTGAGATCTGCCTGGCCCAGATGCACAGATCTGAGTCGGCTGTAAGGCTGACCTGACCCACATGCTGACGGTGACCTTCAACCAGCCAAACACAAACCTCTCTGAACTGCATTTTTTTCAGAGCAATGGCTCTTCAAAGCATGCCTGGCATGTATGCTGGCTTGGGACACATGCAGAACTTCTTTAATCTTGCCTTGTGGCTTCTGCTTCACTCATGCCCGTGTTAAAAACCCCTTAAGCACAGAGTAACACCATTGGCAGAAATGGCGAAGTTATATGCTGAGAAACTGACTTTGGCCATGTGAATTCAGTTTGCAGCAATTGAACATTTCATGGTGTTAGATGAGAAATGATCTAAGAATAATGCAGAAAAGAACTGAATCAACAAATACAGATTGAGGCAGAAGTAGTGTGGAGGAGAGACCCTTGCCACCTACCTCAGTTAGCCCTGCATCAGGCTGGCAAGTAGATAATATGCCTCCATATAGGCAAGGAAGAAATAGCAACTTAAGCAAATTCGTGATCTGCAATGACAGGGATATATTCAATTTTGCCACTGGTACAATATCTCACACGATGAAACACAGGTGTCCTCTGGGAAACTTAGTTACAGTTGCAATAGAAATAGAAAAGGCTACAGAGGTTTAGGGATTGTGACATTTTGCCTCCTCATCTGTATACAATGTAGAAATGGAAATATTTTTAAAGAACTGAGCTTGACCTTGGAAGTTCTCCACCCAAAATGTTCAATGGGTGTGTAATACAGAACAAGGATTGGCAAATTTTTGCCTGTTTATTGGGTGTGTGTCATCTAGGGCTGTGTCTTACCATACCTTCTAAAAAAAATGCCTGATAACTCCATTATTAAGGATGTTACTGAGATCCTACCCTCTTTTTTTCTCAGAGAGATTGTACTGAAAAACAGTGGTGTTCAGGAAAAAAAGGCTAGTGACCAAGATATTGGGCAACAAGGAAACTACAAAGCAGAAAGCAATAGCCATTTCAGGGTTAGTGCATTTCAAAATGCACATCTACTGCAGGCTTGCTTAATTCCAGGTTTTGAAATGCGGAGCAGATGGGAAGGGATGTGAATTTGAGGGTGAAGAAGTCAGGTGTCTCAGGTATGGGCCTGGATTAGTAGCCTCAGCATGTTCCAACAACTTCAACTGAGGTTAACAAGGTGAAAATGAGGACAGAGCCTGTGAGCCAACATGTTAGCTTCTTGCTGCAAGGGTTAGGCATGGCAAGTTTGTGCACTTAGGCACACATACATGCATGCAAAGGTCAAGATGAAATAGTTAAAATCCTAAACCAGAACCTGTTTGGGTGTTTGGGTTTGTTTTGGTTTTTTTTTTTCTTCTTGGGTGTGAAAAATCCTGGCATACAAGTGGTCAGTGCAAGGAGGGCGTATCACAGTTTACCAACCTACCTGAACAACTGTGTTTTATAAATACAGCATGACTTTGAAGTTCACAATAAACAAGTGATTGCTACTTTCTTAAATTGGATGTTCGTAATGTTTAGAAGTTAATGTCTCTCTTCCCTCTAAACCATATTATGATTTGTCGCAAACTGAATCTAGAATTGTTGTGCCTGTTAGAGCACGTTGAAGACAATCTGTATTTTATTCTTTCCTCTTTAGGAGTTGTTCGTGGTACCTCTGCCTTTGTGTCTTTTACCTCTTCCATTCTTAACTACTTGAGTATTCGCTCTTTATTTTCTTTAATAGCACTGAAAGCTCCGAGGAATAAAAACAACCTCTGTAAATTGCATAAATAGCAGCAGCAAAATGACAAACAAGGAGAAGGGAAAACACTATGGTGATTGTTTCAAAAAGTAGCTGAGTGTTATTTATGCAGCACCAAAGGAGTACTTGATCTTACATATTCACACAACAGGGAGAGACAACCTTTAATAAGAGGAGGCATCCATTGGAGGTCTCCTTAGCCTTTTTCTGGCAAGAGGAATTAAGGTAGACTGAAACAGTAAGGGGAGCAGGAGGTTTCCCCACTGTCCTTTAAAGCATAAAAGGAACTGTATTGCCATCTTGTTCCTCCATTTTAAAAAAAGTCCTTGGAGACAAAATGGCTCGGATAGGAAATCTCTCAAGCTTTTCCAGCTTTGCTTCCTCAGGTAGCACTGGTTTATAGAGTAGGCAACAACACATTATTCCAGTTCTTTATTTCTGGTGACAAGAGGTTACCAAGCAGCTTGTACCCCCACAGAAGTCTGCCTCCTTTTGCTTCATCCCATGGGATTGTGTAGCCAAGAGGCATTAACAGGTACTTCTGAAATAAATCCTCTGACATGGCAAGAAACTCTGCTGAGATTATACAGTCCAAGGCAATAGTATCTTTATTTTTTTTTCCCTTTAGCTCTTTTACCTCTACACTGGCTGTTTCATCCCTTATTCATGGTCCCTAGATATATGGCATTTATTTTTGATCAAACCTGTAGCAATACTGTCTCATAACCATTTGAGCTCTTACAATAAGGGAGAATGAGCAGACAGAGTATTGCTTTTGCACATAGGTCTACAGAGGTTTAATCAGTCTAGGATTCATTTGAGCTACCCTGGGAAATAAGGGTTTGCAGGTTCATGCATTAATATTGTGAGGCCTTGGTCAAAAGCTCATTTAAGTCAGGGAGAAATTCCTCACTGAATTCAACTTGCTCCAGACACAGTCATTTTTTCATAGAGTTGAACCTGAGGAGGAAGTACATTTGAAATCCATTCAGAACCAAATCTTCATTCATTGACATTTATGACTATATTCTGTCCATTTCCCATTGAACATTTGATAGCTGGCGTTTACAAGTGCAAGCATTGCAAAGCTGATTTTTTTTTTAAACAGAAATGTGATTTTTTTTCTGAAATTTATTTTTGATTGCAGACTGATGATAAGCCTTGTAATTTGTTCTGCAGTTTCAGTTACACAACAGCTACATAATAATTTATTATGCTAAGTTATAGCAGTGACTATATTGAACTGTAATGTTTTCAGTCTGAATGTTTCACAAGTTATTAGCTGAGAAATTATTAACTGAAGAAATTAACTGGATTTGTTGGATACCATAGCAACAAAGGTGGCCTATGGCTTTAAAAAAAGTGCTGCATCAGACACAAGCCAGCACATTTTGTTAAAATAAAGAGAAACTATTCAGAATTTGCAATTGAGGCTACAGATTGGTCGTGTTCTTGAAATATAGGTTTATAATTCGTCACAGGAAAAATAACTCCATAAAGCAAAACCACTAA